ACTAGAGTAGACCAACATACAACGGCAGAAAATCTTAAGAAGATGTTAGAAAAACACTTTCCAGAAGTAATATGTACGTCGTTAACGGCTAAGCATCCCAACATATATTCATCTTTTAAAGTTTCAATTTTTTAACAAAATTTCGGTAAAGCGATGGACCCAAAACTATGGCCAATAGGCTCTTATGTAAGTAGGTTTTTTATGATGCGCTCAACACATACGCAAATAAAGTGAAGTATGAAGAATTTACTTTAAAACAGGAAAAAGGAAGGGATAAGTACGATCTGCTACTGTCAAATATTCAGGGACTAAATCAATTTAAAATGGATTGTTTATTTGCTGATTATAAGGAGTCTGATTTGAAATTTGTATGACTGAGACGTGGGCAGCAAATGACGAGGTGATGCATTATAATTTTCCAAATTTTAAAATTGTAAATTCTTTTAGTAGATCCCAATATAAATGTGGTGGCGTTGCACTTTGGGCAAGGGATGCTATGAAGGTTAATTCCATTTTACTCGATCAGTACTGTGTTGAAAAAGACATTGAGGTATGTGGACTGAAGTGGCATTATAATTCAAATCAACACACAATTTTAGTTTGCTACAGATCTCCTAAAGGTAAATTTGATGTATTTTATGAAAAAACTTAACCTTATTTTAAATTCAAATTTTAAACCAAATCAATTCATATTTTTAACAGGCGATTTTAATGTAAATTCCATGACACTAAATAATTCACACAGATTTTCTGGTCTTCTAGCATCTTATGGTTTGTCACCCAGGAGCTTTACACCTACAAGGTCGACTTCCACATGCGGAAATATTTTGGATCAGGTATATACAAATTGTGATGATTGTGTAGGTACTGTAAATGTAAATACTGAATCGGATCACGATATTTTCCTTTTAAGATTGAATTTTATTAATCTAACTATGACAACAGTTCGAAATACTTTCAGAGTAACAGATATCAGATATAATCAGTATACAGATTCAGATATAATATCAAACAAATTTAATGATTACTTTATAGATGCACCAGTGGATATAATTAGTAAAATAATTAAACCAAATTTAAATTTTCAGCATTCCAATGATTTTGTTCAAAGTAGTTTGTTCCTATCTTATGTAACAGAGGAAGATGTCTTAGATATAATAAAATATAAAATTAAAAACAAAGCATCGTGTGGTTTTGATGAAATATCAGTTATAGTAATTAAGAAAATTGCGCCTCAAATTTTGACACTACTGACTCACATTATAAATGCTTCTTTCAATACTGGTGTTTTTCCCAATATGCTGAAAACTTCTGTCATTTCACCGGTATTAAAACAAGGTGATCCTGAATTAATGTCAAATTTTCGACCATTGTCTGTTCCATCTGTGATATCTAAGATTATTGAATATGCAATGCTAAAACAACTTTTAATATTTTTAGATATCAACCAAATTATCACAAAGCACCAACATGGATTTCGAAATAAATTTTCTACTTCCACAGCCATTAACAGTTTTTATGAGGAAGTCTTACTCTCAATTGAGAACAGTGAAAATCCAACTGCCATTTTTTGTGATCTCAGTCGTGCATTTGATTGTGTGCAACACGATGTGCTCCTCGATAGATTGTACAGATATGGTGTTAGGGGAGTTGCCCATAGTTGGTTTGTTTCCTATCTGAAAGACCGACACCAAATAGTTAAAGTGAAAAATAACTTCAAGATTTCAATGTCTGATCCGATTATTAATAAGAATGGAGTACCACAGGGCTCAATATTGGGCCCTATATTATTTATTTTGTATATTAATGAACTACCACATGTAATGCCTGATGCATTTCTATCAGTTTATGCGGATGAGTCAACAATGCTATATCGCGATAAAGACATAAATTTTTTAAAAGATAAAATAACAAACTCTCTGAAGACCTTCTCTGATTGGTCCAGTAATCAGTCGCTCCTGTTCAATGTTCACAAAACTAAATTTTTATCATTTACATCACGTTCAAATTCAACTAAACCTGATTTAAGTATTTCCATCAATGGTGAGGATATTTTGAATTGTAGTGATGTGAAGTTTTTAGGAGTGACTTTCGACTCTCATTTGTCTTTTAAGACTCATTGTTGGAATGTATGTAAAAAACTCAATTCTAAATGTTATCAATTGAGAAATTTGGGTAGAATACTTAGTCTGCAACACCTTCGTCTTTTTTATTTTGCTGAGGTACAATCGACAATAAGTTACGGTATAACTATCTGGGGTGGTTATTCTAGTGTAAAGGACGTTTTCAAGGCCCAAAAGCGTATTGTCAGATGTATAGCAGGTGTTCCGTATGGTTGGTCTTGTAAAATCCTATTTAGAGATTTGAATATATTAACAGTGTATGGAATTTAAATTTTGGAATTATTGATACTAATTAATAAAAATAGAAGAACTTTTTTATGTAACAGTGATATTCACTCACACAACACAAGAAATAAGAGACAGTTTGTAGTACCCTATCGACATTTAGAAATAAGCAGGAAGTCATCTACTATCTATGGTTTACTACTGTATAATCAACTTCCTCAAAATTTTAAAAACATTAATTCAACTACATCTTTTAAAAACCAAGTCAAAGAGTACCTAGTGACCATGTGTCCTTATACATTAGGTGAAGATTACGAGGGTGTATCTGTGAATGCCTAAGCTGCAACAATACCAAATTTACTAATATTTTAATTATATGTCTATATTGTACGTTTTTTAAGTGTTTTAATGTTTTAAATATTTTTAATGTATTGTTTAACCCCCTCTGTGGCTCAGTGGTAAGAGCGCCTGCCTTTAAACCTAAAGGTCGTGAGTTCGAATCCCACCTGGGTGGAAATTTTCGTTTATTAAAAAAATTAATAAATGAAAATAATTTCTATCCTTGTGTGATCGGTACACACCGGAGGGACCGCAGACGTTCGGATACAATTAGCGTCTCTTAGCAAAGACAATGACGTCGACTTTGCTAAGTATCAAGACAATTACTCTACACACACACACACACACTCACTACACCTTAAATTGTAAGATTGGCGAATGGATTTAGTGTCCGCAGTCATTTAAACACAAACAAACAACAATGTATTGTTTCCATTTTTTGTAATATTTAGTATTTATAATTTTAGTTTTGACTTGCTGTAAACCTAGTTGTAACTTACAGTCAAATAAACTATCTATCTATCTATCCTGATTGAAGGAAAGGAAAAAATCTCACTTACAGTTAATAGATCTGAAACAGTGGAAACACCATTATGAGGTCTTACTGACAGAGAATAGATGTAAATTCCAAGAGATCGAAATGGAAGAAATATCCAAACACACACACACAAATAATTGAGATAACAACCGGAGAGTTAAACGATGCCCTTAAAAGATCGAAAAACGGTAAAGCAGTATTACCTGGAGACATTTAAATTGAGTTGGTAAAGTATAGACCAAAAATATTAGATGAGATGTTGGTTCAACTATTTAACAAATGCTTAAAAGGACAAAATATCCCTGATGATTGGAATAGTAGATGGATATATCAGCTCAATATTCAAGAAAAGGGATAAACGCAAATGCTCTAATTTGTGGGGGAATAACTGTTATTAGCTCAGTAGGGAGGTTGTACGGTCGAATAATAAGAGAAAGAATAGAATACGAAGACATAGAAGAACAGAATGGATTTCGTGCAGGAAGATCGTGCACTGATGATATATTCGTTCTGTAGCAGGTAATCGAAAAACGGAAGGCAAGGAATTTATCTACACACCTATTGTTTGTAGATTTAGAGAAGGCATACGACACGGTAACCAAATCATCCAATGCGAGAACACAGAACTCCTAGTCCACCACTACTTCATCAACAACTTGTTTCTCCGAAAGACATCTGTCCAATCCCTACATACAAGAGAGATACCACTAAAAAACCACATGCCAGATCAAGAAAGGCTTCAGTAATTACTCTAACACCCTACAAACAAGAATTAGAGCAAAGTTAAAAAAAAGCAAAAAAACTAGTACCCTAGCTAAACTTGAATTGTGTATTTGCTCCAAAAAAAAAACAGTTCAACAAAAAGTGTTAGATCAAAAAACAGCAACGCCCGAAGAAGAAATATCAGATGAAGACGTAGGTCAACCTTCTACATCAAAAGGCAAAACATCAAGAAGAAAGCGGAAAGTTTCTTCGAATTTAAGCTCAGATAGCAATGAAGACTTTCCATTAGCTGATCCATCGTCCAACGAAAGTGGAGAAAACGACGCGGAATGTTAATTTTGCACCGGCAAATTTTCAGGCGGTAGAAATGGCGAACAATGAGCAAAGTCTTACCAGTGTGGCAGGTGGGCACATGAAGATTGTGGAGAAATAAAGTCCAGCACATTTATTTGCTTTTTCTGCGAAGGAAAGGGCTTTTTGAATAGTATCTCAAATTAAGGTACCTGTCTCAAGTTTAGATACCTGGCTATCCCAAATTAGGGCACCATTTTTAATATTAAATCTCACAATAAAAACTAAATGTATTATTTTGTAAAAATAATGTTTTATTCGCTTTATTTATTTTTTTTTGTTGTGTTCTAGAAAAAATAGATTTAAGTTTTCGAAATAAATGTTTTAAAAACTTTTGAATATTCTGTTGTATATTTGTTTTTCAAAAAAAGTGTCTCAAATTTGTTGCCTTTCTTTTAATGTTCGTATGACTAAAAATGTATCATCAATTCCGTTATAAAACTGTTATTACCTCCAGTTAATTTACATACCAAGAACAGAAGTCAAATTCGGAATACCACAAATTAAGTCAATAAAAAATAAAGAAATATAGTCAATCCAATGATAAATTCTGTATTATTATTGGTAATTTTGTAATATTAGGTAATCAAAATTACGATATAGCATTTCTGGTCAACGATGTTTACCAGTAATTGAAAATGTTTGTAAATTACACAAGGTAGCAATAGCAAATAAAATAATCAACAACACAAACCACTTACCTAATGATAATACAAATAAATATTCTAAAGTTTCTTTACTACTCTTCACTGAAAATAGTCTTGTCTTTAATTCACAATATCACATAATCACCTCATGAGTGTGATACTCTTTTTAAAAGTACAGACAACTGGAGGATCTTGAATATTTTGTTGACGATGACGTACGCGGCGCAAAAGTCAAGCAACTCGTGCTAACGGTACAACGAAACGGTGCTGGAGCCACTGAAGTGCCGGCTAAGGTTCGTTCAAAGGTACAGGTTGAATCTACCTGTCATTCCTATCATACACGTTATCGCTAAGTAGGGTACAGCGGCGCCGCGTTGAGGTCTTTAATTGGGTAGTGTTTTTTTACGTAATGCGATATTGAAAGTATAAATACTCTTAATTGATAAACTTAAAATAATTGTTATAACCGGTATTTCTTTAATAATAATAATAAAGTAGGTTCTGAAACAGTTATCTTGTGGCATGTCTAAGTAAAATATTAAATATGGTTATATGGAATTAAGCTGATACTAATATACATCCTTATTAATATCTCTAGACCACTGTACAAGCACTTAAAGAGCGAAAACTGCTTCTATAGTTACTTAGTGCAATACGTTGTTAAAAAGATCAACTAGCTGTTTTAGTTGCAAACAACATTTCCTTTTCAGATATATAATTCAAAACAAATTATAATCCAAATATAGAGGTTTGCGGTGTTTTTCTAGAACAAGTAAAATTATCAATACTTTGTGTTTACAAACCTCGTAAAATATAATATAAAAAAACTCAATTTTACAGTATAGCTGTTTAAAGTTTTTTAACATGATTTTTATGCCCAGACTTAAAAATAAATTGAAAACAAGCAATGTGATTAGTTTTAAATAATAATTTAATTATCTCTTTTTCAGTATAAAATAACTTCTAAATAAATTAACTAGTATTTGTTGGACAAAAAGGTATTTGAAAAAAAAATTCAGTATAGTGTCACTTTTGTTTTTATACAATCAAGTAATTTTTGTTTAATGGCATGTTTAATTCATTAACTCTTCTACTATTCTACTACTCCAAAATAGTAAATGAATGTCAGAAATAAAATAAAAACTGATTTTAGATGAATAAATTATTTATTTGTATGTACTACAAAAGAAAGTCTTACTCGAATCAGTCACGACAATATCACGCAATGGTTTAAATAAAATAAAATATTTTAAGACTATCAAAATAAACTAGGACAATAAACGAATCGTAACAAAAAATGCAAATAGGAATTTGTAAAAATGTGATAATACTTAAAAGTTATTACATTTTCAATTAAAAATACTTTCATAGTAGGATCGGTAATATCCAGGAATCAACCCCGCATCCACAAGACTCCTCACGTCATTTTTCTTCCTTTCGGATATATCCAATTTTTGGTGGTACAATGGTTTAAGTTCTTGAGGTCGGCTGTTTCTGGATGTTCTTTTTGCCAAATCAAGTTCCTTGAAGTCATCAAAATAAGACGTTTTATAATCTCATTCATTACGTGCTTTTCAATTTTAATGACTTTTATATCAAACAACTTTTCAACCACACCATCAACACTCCTATTCAGCTTAATAACTGGCAGTTGTTTCAAATCCATAAAATCTTCATATCCCATCTCATTTACAATGTACGGCGTCCCATGTTTTTTCGAACTTCTAATGGCACAGGCGTATTGGGAAGGTACGTAAATGGGTCCAGATTTAAGACTTTTTTTTACTTCCTTCTCAATCGTTGAATGTACTGCGTCCCCTTAATTTTGTGTGTGGCCTCGGATTAAGAACTTATGGGTTATTAATTTTACTTTGAGATTTAATACTGCATAGACGTACATTCCAATGATAAACTGGATCTTCTGTTGGCCACAGCAGTTATCAGAATAGAACACTATATCAAGATCTTTATTAGAAAAAGAAGACTTCTTTTGCAAAAACTTCAAAACACAGCTACCTATTTCATTGGCTCCACGATTGCCTTGAGATTTATCCCAAAAGTAACATTCAACATTGTCTGTTTTCAACTCCGATATGGTAAAATGCAAACAATTTATTTTGGACTTAGAATGTTGATACGTCTCCTTTAGGAACGGTTATTACCGCTTGTAAGTCATAGCATGCAACGATAAAACAATCTGTCACTTTCTCTTTGTCACTAGCTTTTTCTTCGCGACTTTTTTGTTTTTCTGCTAAATGGCGGTCATAATCTTCCTTCAAAGCTTCCTTTCTGGAATCTTCAGCTAGCTTATATATTGTGCATTGTTCACATTGGTCCTTTTTAGGTACGAACAAACTAATATTAAATTCTTTTAATATGTATATTAAATGTCGGATAATACTTTAGATGTCGGTGTTTAATATCCTAATTATCTAATTAAATATACATTTTTAAATAAAACAATGATACTTTACTTAAAATGACGTCTATTTAATATGGCAATAAATTAAAAATATGACATTTAAACCACAAAAATGACACTAAGCACAATATGCCCCTTATTTATTCTATACAAACACAGTTATCTGGAATAGTTGAGTAAAATATCGGCACTTTACAAAATATGCCAATAACGAAATCATAATTTGTTGTATTTTTACTATCAAGTAATTAAAAAAACGACATTATACAAAATATGTCACTTTTTCACTCACCTCAGCTAAGACTCGTTGCGGCGGCTGGACCTTTACTGGTTTAGTGTCGGTTTATCGGTCACGACCCATGCTCGCGACAACAAAGTAAGAAGTGACATTAGCGACGTCTACAGAAAACCGAGCAAGCTATTACAACGGAGATCTTTGCAACAGACGTAGTTTTGCTCGTAGATTTTAGATGTCGCTGTAACTAAAAACCACCGAATTTTGTATAATGTCACTTTTGATTTCAATGTGCGATATGTATCATCCAAATATTGGGAAAATTTATTTGAAAAAATTAAAGGCAGAGTTTTAATTGGAGGCGACTTTAATAGTCATCACGGTAGGTGTGGTTCCATACAAGATAATGCACAAGGTAATATTCTCGCTGACGCTTTAGACAATACTAATTATACTCAATGACGGAAAACCAACCAAAATATCCAGACCAAATGAACGTCTTTCAATGATAGACTCAACATTGGTATCTCCTCATTTAACAGGCTTTACTACCTGGAATCCTCTAAATGACTCGCTAGGTCCAATCCACATCCCTATCCAAATTACCATATATTTGAAATATAGGTACTTCAAGAACAATCCATGCCTCTACAAAATGGAAAGAGTCTTCAGCGGACTGGTCTATATTTGAAAAATGCCTTCCAGACACTCATTCTATTGATGTTACATCTTTGGAAATGTTTAATAACTTAATAAAAACAATTAGAGAAACTGCAGACTCTGCTACGATTACTCAAAAATCATTTCAACCAAAATCCAGTCTTCATGTATGGTGTGACGACAAAGGTGCGCAGATCAGGTTCTTTCACTTACCACATTTATTGGGGCAGTTCCAGAGAAAACTTAAAACTGGGAGCGCATGAGACTAATATTCTAAGATTTTTTATCACTCACCACAAAAACAAAACTACTATCCATCTAATAATTTTAACCGCAAATTAAACACTCCAGTGTTTAATTTGTTTAGTGAAAATTTTTGACAAATGTTTACTGCAATTAAGAAGACCGCCCCTCCCAAAAAAGATCCATTGTAGAGAATTCCGCAGTTTACCCATCATGTTGTTTAATCATATACCTACGTACTAATTACCCAGTTACATAAAACAACGTTGCAGCAAGGCGTTAACTTAATAAATAAAAAATAATAAACAAAAGCAGACTATTAAAATAAAATAAATACAATTTCCAAACACTATAAATTTTTTTCTCGTAAACCAGCGGTGTTGCATAATGGATTTAATTAAAAAAAAAAATTAATGCACTCACCTGCAACAAAAGTATGTTTTATTTTCTACAATTTTAGGCTCGCAGTTTCTTCTTAATAACAAACGTAATCGGTGTTTACTTTTTTATTGTTATTATTTGATTTAAAGTGACAGTTGTATGATGTAGGATTTGTAATTATCTTGAAGTAAATTTACTTTGTTCCTAAAAAGTATAATAATCACACAGGACTTTACTAGTAATCTGTGATTTTATTATTAAATGAGGTGCACCTATTTTTCTTCAGTTAACAGTTTTGAAGTAATAGCAAAGAATATAGAGGCGTATGCTTCAATAAATTACTCAGTAATCTGTAGGTACGTGGCTTCATTCCAGATAACGTAAACTGGTCTAACTGAATCGAGAAATAGTTCGTTTGCAGATAAGCTAACAAAACATATTCAGTGGCATGTTTCATTTTTTCAATACGTCCTTGAAACTGTGTTGTTGCTCAAAGGAATTCTTTTGAGTATATGATGATGTGTAGACTGGTGAAGAATAGTTTTTAACATTTTTTTTTTAAATCTGACTCACTTTACTTGTTACTTTTTCTAGTCCAGACTATTATGTATTTTTAGTTGAAGTACTCGACCAGTAACGAGCCACATCGGTTGCTACATTGATGACCACCTATAGATCGATGAGGGCGATGAGAAACCTGCCGCCTTATACATAAGGTTAAGTGAGGTATATAGATCCGGTTACTATCCTAAATGTCTCATCAATTTGTTTTACGTGAACTAATCGATTCCAAACTTTCCTACTAAAAAACACATTTTTCGTGGTTACTCTCATTGGGGCTTGTGCCTTAACTACATCCAGCCAATTTTCTTAGTAGGCCGTTTCTGGTGGTAACTTTTTGTCTTGTATTGTGACAATGAACCCCCTCTGTGGCTCAGTGGTAAGAGCGCCTGCCTTTAAACCTAAAGGTCGTGAGTTCGAATCCCACCTGGGTGGAAATTTTCGTTTATTAAAAAAATTAATAAATGAAAATAATTTCTATCCTTGTGTGATCGGTACACACCGGAGGGACCGCAGACGTTCGGATACAATTAGCGTCTCTTAGCAAAGACAATGACGTCGACTTTGCTAAGTATCAAGACAATTACTCTACACACAAACACACACACACACACACACACACACACACACACACACACACACACACACACACACACTACATTAATAAACTTA